AAAAAAAATTTAACATATTTTCTTTAATTATGCATAATTCTTAAATATAAAAGTTTCATAAATAAAATTTAATATTTTGAGAGGGAACAATTCGTCACAAATTTTTTCACAAAATATTTTAAACTATTTGTGACGGAATTTTGAGAGGGCACAATCTTCACTAAATTTTTTCTTTTTAGTGACGAAATTTGTGACGGATTTTTTAGAGACGAAGTCCATTCCGTCACAAAATCCGTCACAAATATTTTTTTTTATTTAGTGATGAAATTTGTGACGGATTTTTAGAGACGAAAATTTTTCCGTCACAAAATCCATCACAATTTTTTTTTATTTAGTGACGAAATTTGTGACGGAGTTTTAGAGACGGAATATATTACGTTACAAAATCCGTCATAAAAGTCAATAAATTCTGGTCCGTCACAAAACTTAAAATTCCCTCACAAAATGCGTCACTATTAGCGACGCTATTTTTTCCGTCACAAAATTCGTCACAAATATTAATTTTTCTAGTAGTGATTGGATAAATTTCTTCAAAAGCACTTCTGAAAGGGGGAAATAGGAAGAAAAATTAAAATGAGCTTCTCCATAAGTTAATATTAGCTTATACATAAGCTAATTTGTAGAAGCTCGATCTAATTAACTTATCCAAAAATCTTATTTTTAACTCTTATATAAGCTAGTTTTAGCTTACTTCAATTTTTCTTTCTATTTTTCTCTCCTAAAAGTGCTTTTGGAGAAGTTCACTCAAGCATGCCCATTGTTTAAGTTGTGCCAAGTGTAATTCCTACTGGGTTGTTACATTCATAAGTTCATGGTGTGTTTGGATGAGGAAATTATATAGGGTAATTCATTTATTTGAAGAATTTCAAATTCTTTGAGGTGAAATGCTTTGTTTGGATGAGGAATTTACAAAGAATTTGAAATCCAAGCATTTGTAAATTTCCTTAAAATAGTAGAATTTCAAATTCTCTCAAAAATGGGAGAATTTGAAATTCCTCATATTTGTTTTTCTTATTTCACCTATATATTTTATCTTATCTCTTCATTCTTTTAATTATTGGATATTCAAAAATATTTTTAAAATTATTAAATATTATCTTATATTAATTTTTAAAATTATTAAATATTATCTAATATTAAATTTTAAAATTATTAAATATTTAAAAATGGATTAATATTTATTTTTATAAAATTTAATTTAAAAATCTCAACATATAAATATATTTTTAAAATCAATTTTACTATGATGGAATCAAATTATCATATTCAACCTAACAATTTAAAATTTAAGAAATTTAAATTGACTCATCCAAACAAAATATTTTAAGAATGATAGAAATTGAAATCAAAGTAATTCAAATACCAAGAATTTAAAATTCTTTGAATTTGTAAAATTCCTCATCCAAACACACTATCAAGTTTGTAAAGAAATAAACTTGAGAAAGAAACTCTAGAAGACTATTTCTTCATCTTCTCTTTAAAAGCTTCAAAACTTTTTCTTGATATAGTGAACAAGCTGAGATAGCTAAACAAGGAAGCGAAACTCGTATTTGTGAGAAAAAGTTTGGTTCTTGAAGGTTTTGGAAGCACTTTCTTCTCCCTTTGATTTCTTGCTTCTAGGAAGCAATCTGAAGTATTAATCAGTCACTTGAAGAGGCTTTTGATAATGTTATATAAAAAATAAATGATAATTTTATTTTAAAAAAATTATAAGTAATCAGATTATAAATACACGTTATTTTAAAATGCATTATATGATAACTATTATAGGTTGGATTGTTAAGAGAAGTTTCTGATAAAGCAAATAATATGGAGTTGAAGTTATTTTTTTTAACTAAAATGGGACATATTATATTTTTCTTAGTGATTTAATCTTCTTGGATAGTGTTGATATGAATTTGTAGCTTATAAGAAAGAGAATATTAATGAAATATCCTTATTTATTGTTGAATTTGATTTAGTTATATTTAATAGAGTTTGTAAAAATTAAAAAGTAAGTAATAACAATGTTGAAATTTATGGCGATTGATCTGTGAAACTTATAAATAACCATTGATCTCGAGAAATAAATATATGTTATATTAAATACATTAAATCAAGGACTTTTGAGAATTGAAGTTTGATTATTTAGAGACCGAAACAATCATCAAATTTTAGTTGCAAACTTTGTGACTGAAGTGGTCACTATATCAGTCTATAAAATAGGTCAATATATGAGTCATTATAAGACTAGTCTATAAAATAGGTCAATATACGAGTTATCATAAGACTTGTCAGTAAATTAGTCACTAAAATAGCCACTATAATATAATATTGGTTTATAAAATGAAACAGACAAAAAAAAATATTAAAATAGACAATTATAGAAAATCTATCATTATAAAATTATCATCTAAATAAATTTCTAGACCTGTCGTTAAGTCAGTATCTTGCCTCAGCGGCTGTAGATTTAGCTATTTATCAAAATTGACCTCAAATTCGATCTCTTTTAACAATTGATTTTCTCACCAAATTTTAAGTCTGTAAAGAGCATTTTTATTGTAATCCCGAAGAATGAATAAGGATATAGACTCGAAATGGAATTAAACTTCTAAGACCATATAATATAACAGTTGCTCAAAGAAAATGAAAGAAACTTTTCTATTAAAACTAATTAGAAATACATGTTCTCAATTATATATAACAGATTTTTTCAAAAAAAAAAATAATGGATAAGACCAAGTATTATAATAGAAAAAGTTAACCGACTAATTAAAACAAATATTTTCACTATACTACTTTTCAATTAAATCAATACATAATTTAAATTCTTCTTAACTTGTTGAAGATTTTCCATCGAGGAAAAAAATCAAGAAGTGTGTTTCACTTGACAAATTGATTTTTAGATTAAGATAGAGTTTTTTTGTTTGTGTGATTTATAAAGCTTAACTTTTTTTTATGAATATATAGAGCTTTAATTGTAGTGTTAAAGTTCAAATTTTCATTGAAAACATACATTTTATACGGACAAATTAGAAGTGGGACAATTAGTTTCAATTCTAGAATATGTGGGGCATTTCGGATCAATTGATACAAATGATAATAATTTATGTTTTTTTTAACGAAATTGTCTAAAACTTAAATCCTAATTTGAATATAAAATTTATTATGTTAGTTAGAATTTTTTATAGTAAATTTTTCTTATCGATATACCATGATTATTAAAGAAAAATTAAACAGATGAAACATTTCGTATCTTACTTTAACCGATGCAATATTAGAAGAAGCATATCACATCCTTCATTTCTTAATTAATGAAAGAGAAGGTTACAATTAAAAGTCTATAATTAAAGTTAGGAGAGATAATTATTATCTCTACCGTATGGTGCCCCTATTCACTAGTTAGGCAAATTAGAGAGTTGTTACAAGCCTCCCTCTTTCTTCTTCAATATACATATTATAAAAGCTATACACATGCATACAAACAAGTGATAAACTTCCATAATTAATGTACCCTTAACTTCTTCCAATTCTCAATGATGAATCAACACCTTTATTGACACTTGCAAAGATCCTAGCAATCTCTAGTTGTGTGTTGGCAATGATTTCAGTTCTCTTAAGCTCCATTTCCCCTCTCTTTGCCTCAGCTTCAACTCTCATCCTCTCTATCTCTTTCATTGTGTCCATTCTCGTTTGTTCTGACCTCACCACCACTTCCGCAAGCCACCTTATGCTCTCTGCTATTTCCATGTTTTCTTCATTATTGTTCCTTCTCCTTTTGTTGCTCTCACTTTTCATCTTCCTCTTGTTGCATCTCACCTTGTCCTTTTCACTGTATAGAGCAGGTGTGCTACTATCCGAGTCCATTGGATTCTTGTTAGATACATGCTCTGATGACTTGGCTCCTAACCCATCTTCCTATTAATGCCAAAACATTAATAATATTTATATATGTTTCTGTATGGATATAATATATTTTTAAACATAAGATGACAATGCTAACACACTCAAATCATCTCAATTCCAATGCCCACATATGTCCTGTCCGTTTTAATGTCACTTTTATTTGCATAATATATGGTTAAAATAAATTAAAAGGTAGCATCATACCTTCTAAGCTTTAAGACACCTATTTTTGTCTGTTGCAATGATTTTTAAATATAATGCATATATAGTACAATGGAAGATTTAGGTCATCAACTAAATAATGGGTTTTTAGTAATTTTTACTTCATATAAATTAACTACTTGAATATACTAACTTTACATATGGTAATTTTTAAATTTAATATGATTACTTGAGTGACTTTTACTTCATTGTTCACTTCATGTTTGGAATAAATAACCTATTGTAACTTTCTTTCAAAGAGACGAGTTTCGCTTTCTGCGAATTGTTGTCCCACTTCAGTTGCAAACAGAATCAGTCAGAAATTTATACGATGAAAGAACATAAATTTAATTTTTAGAAATCATGCATATTTTTTCTTCACATGAAGTGTAGAATTGAAGATTTGTTTTCTCAATTATATGAAACACTCTAGGTGATTGATGCAACAAGATATATAGTAGCATAAATTAATGAACAAGTTAAATAAAATGGTTTTCACGAATCTTATGTTATGCATTCTGTAGAATGTGACAACCACATAAAGCTGAATCATTATCAAAAAAGAAGTTCTGAGCCACACAATCCCAACCTCACATAAAGTCATGAATCATGATCATATATAGAATGGAAAAAATTGTACTTTATTTAACAATCTACCTTGTGCAGTCTTTCAACACCATTGGAGCCATGTGAGTTTTGAGCAATTGGGGGAGGTGGAGGGGCAACAAGAGGAGGTGCTTGTGAAACTGCCAGTGAAGGTGGCTCCAACAGCACCAAAGCCTGGTTATTGGTGGCATGTGGTGATTGTTGAGATGGTGCTATTGTTGCTGTAGCTATTAGTGGTGGTGGTGGAAGCGAAGAAAGTGGTCCTGTCCCACGCAGAAGAAGATCAAGGCGAGAGTACAAAGGCCAAGAGGAAGCATCTGCAGTGGAAGCAGACTCTGATCTGTACCTCTTCTTCATGGACTCAATCTTGTTCTTGCACTGAGTCTGTGTCTTTGGTGACTTGGTGGAGTTTGCTCTTGATGAGACATGTTTTGCAACATCTTCCCAGTCATGGCCTTTGAGTTTGGCTCTGTTTCTGAGCACCCATTTGGCCTCATAGGCCTCAAGAAGGGTTGAAACAGCCCCTTCACTCCACTCATCTCTCTTCAACCTATCACTTCCACCACCACCACCACCACCAATGTTTTTCCTTGGTGACTCTTCCTTGATGATGGTGTTGTGATTGGGAAGGAGGAGAGATGGGTGGTTATTGTCATCTTGCTTCTCTGCTTTATCCTCCATCTCTCATCCCCCATGTACCACAAAACTACAAGGCTTTTAACCCTTTGTGTTGTTTACCTGCTAACATGCTCCTGTGAGCCTATCAATAAGAAAAGGGTAACAAGAGGGAGACAATCACTAGCATCAGAAAGAGAGTTAAAAATGAAAAAAAAAAAAAAAAGGGAAATGGCAATAGTGGGAGGTGGAAAGGGAAAAAATTTGTTCACTTTTGTCAAATAAGTTAATCATGTCAATGCCCTCAACTTTTCTTTTTCTTGCTTTTCTGCAAGAGGTGCTGCTTCACGGTGTTACCTTAACATTTTAAGTCCAAGTCAATAATTACAATTGTGACTATATTAATTAACTACTGTTCCGCTTAAATTGTAATTTCCATATGATTTTAATTATCTCTGTGTTTCCAATAGTTAGATAAGTATTACCTGTTAGTAACTATAATTAAAAATATTTCATTTTAATTTTTATATTTTATTTTTATTTTTTTTATTTAATTTCTACCATGTGTTTCTATAAGAAATAAAAAGTAAAATTTATAAAATTATAAATATTGAAATGAAACAGAAATGGTATCTATTAAGATAAAATGAAATATCTTTATTTAAAGATTAAAAAATAAACTTTATAAAATTATAGAAACCAAAAAAGTAATCAATTTTTTTTTATATCATGCAAAAATGTGAATATATTTGGTCATAAATATAGTTGTGGAAACTCCAAAAATTTTGATGTTATGACCATGATTGTTAATCATTTTTATTTTTTAAAATCTTGACCGTAGTATTGTTAATCATATTAGTTGTCCTTAATTGTGATTTTTTTAATAGTGATATCAAGGATTTAAATTTCGATCTAAATAATAGTTTCTTAGTATTCAATCACAATTATAATTATAATGCAATTACAAAGAAATTACAAAATTTTTAACATGATGGTCAAAATTGAATGACTTTGAAGATTTTATATTGACTGGTATTATACGATTAAAATAATTATATAAATGAGAATAATTTTTATCTTATAAATAATTTTATGAAGTTAAATTAAATCTAAACTCAAATTTACTAAAAAGTACCAAAATATATTTTAGTGATTATGGCTGAGACTATCGAATATGATCAGAGATATATGTCTTTATATTATAAGATGATTCTTTAAAATTGAGTTATTTCCAACCTCATTTTTCTACATGTACTATGTTTTTTTTGAAGCTTAAGACTCTCTAATCCAATCTTAATTAGAAACCTAAGTGTAGTGTGGTATAGGTTAGTGTTGTAATGTTTTTGGTTGAGTTGATTTGGGTGTTAGCGTTGATATGAAGCCAACCAAGACATCCACTTGGGCCTAGCACAAGGGTGGTGGTGGGTCAGTCACGTGGGTCTGTCACCCACTCACTCACTTCCCTTAGATCCTCATCACAAGTATTCACCACCAACACCCTCCACCACCAGCCAATGTGCTTCCGTCACTCAAAACTAATACCTCTATCTTTATAGCCCCCCCTTTTTCCCCTTCAATATCTTTCTCCTTGTCCCTCTCAGGTTGCACTTTTGTTAGCTATCTTCATTAATGTCCCTTTTCAAAGGTCTTCTGCTGATCCATGCACAGCCACTACTCCCAAAGTTACTCCTAATGGCTTTCTAATGACGACTTTGGGTGGGCAGGAATCACACTAGCCCACGTCAGAGGAAAACAAACACCCACCACTCATTCTAGGCCACGTACTACTGCCTAACTATAGGCCATTTCATTTGGTTCTTTCTGTCCTTTTTTCTTTTTCTAAAATCTATTTATAACTATCTTTTTTATTACCATGTTTTTCTTCTTCTTCAATTTATTAGAATGTTATTTATAAAGGGTATTTACTAATTTTTTTAATTAAAAATTATTAATTTCTTAATTAATACTCTTTAAATTCTTATTAGTATTTTTTTAAGCTTAAATATACATGCATACACTTTAAAAGGTCAAACAAATTATAAAAGGGTTTTTTCACACTCCTTTCCCTTCTTTGTGACATGAGTGGAATAGATTGACTTGTGCTTTTGGTATCAATTCTTATATATTCTCTCCTCCTCCCAATCCTTAGAGAGAAGAAAGTTTTTACAAAATGATGTTTGCAAATTGATAGATTATCATAACACTGTCGTTCCGAGAATAAGTAAATTGATGTCATCTTATTATACACACATACTCCAACACTCCAAGGGTGAGATTTCGCTGCCATACCTTAAAAGTCGGTATGGCTTCAGTTCCTTAATGTCATCACATGCTTTTCACCTGTTGTGTATTGTTGGATGGCCATTCCATATTAAGCATCCTCCAGAAAACTCATTTTGACACTATTTGGTGTTTAAGATTCTGGTTTTATGATATTAGAAATTCAATCTCCACCACATCATACTGTTACTTATAAAACATTAGCTAGTGACAAATTTATAATATACTTGCTTCCCCCTTATTATAAAACATTATAAATAGTAATTTTTTTTTTTACATTATATAATTTCTATAATATATTAATTTATTTATTTTATCTTTTACTCTTATTAACTAACATAACTATTTGATTTATCTGTGTGATTTTGTTATAAGTGTCTTATAAGAAGAATCAAATCTACATTTTTTTATTTCGTATAAGAGCAAATTTTAGAAATTATAGTTGGACCTATCAAACCATCTATTATCAACCCATTATCATACCATCATCTATTTGGTTGTTATTTAGCATTTATATTCAATCTCGCTCATTTCACCTTGAGATGTTTAATTCTCACATGAAGATGTGTGTTTGAGATTTCACATCAACTAATGATAAAGTTATAATAAAGTATATGAGTGATGATAATTCTCCCTATAAATAAGTGGTTTTGTATGATTAAATTATGTAACACTATATGTTTTTATGTGTTTTATTTAACTATATGTGATATATGATTAAATTGTTGAATTGTTGTTATAATTATTGTTTTAGAACTCTGGGGTCAAGGGGTCCTTAAAAGTTAAGTTGTTTCTAAGGTAGCCTCAGATAGAGTTAAGTTGGTTCAACTTAAGGACGAGTATATAAGATTTTCCTTAAGACATGAATCTTATAAGTTTATGTTTTAAGAAAAACTAGAAAGAAGCTACAGAGAAGGTCTCTAGAGTCCCAAGTTTTCTTCTTCCTCTTCTCTACTAAACTCTTTTTGCCCCTTCCTATAGTTGATGCAAGGTGACTGTTTGGAGATTCAGCCTTTTGCAGTTGAAGATCTCTGGTCAAAACTATGTGAAGTCCGTTTTCATCTTCACCTCTTCGCTTTCGGACAACTAAAGGTAAGGGAAGTTTGTAGATTAAATTTGATGATTTCTAGTTGTTGAAATCTGTTAAAATCTTCTATTTTGGTGGCTATACTTATTGAATCCATGAGTAGATGGAATTGGTTGAAAGTTGTTCTTGAAGGTGCATTTTAAGATGATGGTGAATTTGGTGTTTAATGATTGCATGTAGTGTTGTTGAATATATGTTGTATGTGTTGAGAGTGCATGTTAAAAATTGTTTTGCATGTTGTTTGGGTTGGTTGGAATTGCAAGTTGGAGCCATTTAATGATTTTGCTATGTGTGAAGATCATCATTGTACCAGGTGTGGGTCAAGTTAGGGCCTCTCTACCTTGATCACGCTGGGCACGGGATTAGTAGCATCGGGTGTGGGTTATGAGGAGTTCTTTGACTTGGTCATACTGGACGTAATAATGAGAGACATCGGGCATGAGTGCTCGAGGTGCTATTTGACTTGATGACATTGGGCACAAATTGAGTAGCGTCGGGTGTGATTAAGTCAGTGGGTCTCTACCTGAATGACATTGGGTGTAGGTTAAGTGGTGTCAGGTGTGAGTTAGGGAAAGGTTCTCTACTTGAGTGAGGCCGGACATGGGTTTTGACATGCCAGGAGTGAGAAACTCAGAGGTTATCTGTCTCATCCACACCAGGTGTAGGTGGATTGGCACTGGGAGTGGGTGAGACAGAAAACTCTTTATCTCAATAATGCTTGACACACAAAGAATGATGTGGGGCATGGGGTATTTGATGAAACTTGGTGAATTTTGGTGAATTCTTGAAGATCATATGAAGTGTAATGCTTTCTTACTTGCCCTATGATGTTGTATGATTATGATTCATTATGCATTGATTTAGGAGGTGTTGAGTTGATGATTTATTGGAGTTGATTAAGTTGCTTAGACATGTGGTGTTATGATGCATGTCTTAGTTGGTGTTAAGATGATAATTGATTTTCTTTAATTAAGTTGTATAAACATGTGGTGTTGTGATGCATGTCTCTTTTGAGATACATAAAAACTAAAGGAGAGAAAAAAAAATTCAAAAGTTTTCATATCCCATTGTGTGGATATTAGTTATGGAGCTTAGAGAGGTCAAAGTTGAAAACCTTTCAGTAAATGAGTTGGGTTCTGAAAAGGTAGGTGTTTTATAGGTATTTCCTCTAAGATTTATGTGCAATTGTATGGAGGCTAGGTCGATCCATACGTGTATAAAGTGACCAAATTGAGTAAGGTATGAAGTTGAGGGTTAAAATCCTTAATCAATTATTGGAAAGGTGCATAGTACTTTAAGGGTAGTCAATGAACTAATTCCATAAGAGGCTTAGTTTATGCATGCTAAGGTTATGGTAAGCTCAAACCTAAGTTTTTCTACCCTGCTAGTAGTATTAGACTTTCCTAGTTTAAGTGGAAAAACCTAAGAAATTAATTCGACCTTCGTATCATTCGTTGTTTCTAGTTTGATAACTAGTTGTTGTTTTTGGTTTTATACCAACCATTGTGATTCGAAAGGGCCAAGCCACTTAGACTGTTCATTGTTGTTATAGAAGATATCCATAAGATGTTATGTGTGATGACGCATCCATTGTTGAGTTGCTTAGCTATTACTATTGGTGGTTTAATAATTGCTCCATGTTAGCTATTGCCCGTTGTGCTTGAAGTTGTGAAGGTGTTAAGATATGTTTGAAAGTTGTTTATCATCTATACCTAATTTTTTGTATATCCTTCAAATCATTGGTGAATGATTTTAACTGATGCTTTACTTGAGTTAACTATTGTTGATCTATTATGTTAATTCTTTCACAAGCTCACCCTTTATTTTTCTCGTGGTTGGAACTACAACGATCATACTTGGTATGAGAGTAGGACAAGATTAACAAGATAGCTTGG